TAATTCTCATTTATATATTGTCAGTCTGACAGCAGTGAATTATCTAAGCTGTTTAATCACTACCTTATAGTTGATACTCTTGTTAGACACCTCAAGATGTCCATCTTGTTTGCCTTGAAAGGTATGCATTTCTATTTTTTTTATTTGTAACTACAGTGGACCCCTGGTTTTCATCCTTAATCCATTCCAGAAGGTCGGCCAAAATCCGAAATGGACGAGAACTGAAGTAATATTTCCCATAAGATATAATGTAAATCCAATTAATCCGTTCCAGACACCCAAAAATATTAACAAAATATACATTTTATAGATAATAACTATAGTTTTACATAGGGAAAATAATGAGAAATAAATGACTAATTTTAATGGATAAATGAACATTTAAATCACTATTACATACCTTTATTGAAAAGACTTGTTGGCATATGGTGTGTCCCCTCCACAACACTATCTCCTGCTAACTGTTTTTTGTTGATCCACACCAACAATAACAACAACACCTCCTACCTCCACCCCTCCATCATAGTGCAGGCACAGTACCTCCCACCCCACCCCACCCCTCCATCATAGTGCAGGCACTGTACCTCCCACCCTACCCCACCCCTCCATCATAGTGCAGGCACTGTACCTCCCACCCTACCCCACCCCTCCATCATAGTGCAGGCACTGTACCTCTCACCCCACCCCTCCATCATGGTGCAGGCACTGTACCTCCCACCCCACCCCTCCATCAGGGTGCAGGCACTGTACCTCCCGCCCAACATCTTCGTCAGAGTGCAGGCACTGTACCTCCCACCCCACCCCTCCATCAGGGTGCAGGCACTGTACCTCCCACCTCACCCCTCCATCAGAGTGCAGGTCCTGTATGTCCTATCTCACCCCTCCAGCAGAGTGCAGGCACTGTACCTTCCACCTCCACCCTTCCATCATAGTGCAGGCACTGTACTTCCCACCTCACCCCTCCATCAGAGTGCAGGCACTGTACCTCCCACCTCCACCTCTTCATCATAGTGCAGGTACTGTACCTCCCACCTCTGCCCCTCCATCATAATGCAGGCACTGTACCTCACCCCTCCATCAGGGTGCAAGCACTGTACCTCCCACCTCACCCCTCCATCAGGGTGCAGGCACTGTACCTCCCACCTCACCCCTCCATTAGGGTGCAGGCACTGTACCTCCCACCTCACCCCTCCATCAGAGTGCAGGCACTGTACCTCCCACCTCCACCTCCACCTCCACCTCTTCATCATAGTGCAGGCACTGTACCTCCCACCTCACCCCTCCATCAGGGTGCAGGCACTGTACCTCACCCCCTTCCTCAGGGTGCAGGCACTGTACCTCCCACCTCACCCCTCCATCAGGGTGCAGACACTGTACCTCCCACCTCACCCCTCCATCAGGGTGCAGGCACTGTACCTCCCACCTCACCCCTCCATCAGGGTGCAGACACTGTACCTCTCACCTCACCCCTCCATCAGGGTGCAGGCACTGTACCTCCCACCTCACCCCTCCATCAGGGTGCAGGCACTGTACCTCCCACCTCACCCCTCCAACAGGGTGCATTCACTGTACCTCCCACCTCTACCCCTCCATCATAGTGCATTCACTGTTCCTCCCACCTCTACCCCTCCATCATAGTGCAGGCACTCTACCTCTCACCTCCACCCCTCCATCATAGTACAGGCACTGTACCTCCCACCTCCACCCCTCCATCATAGTGCAGGCACTGTACCTCCCACTTCCACCCCTCCATCATAGTACAGGCACTGTACCTACCACCTCCACCCCTCCATCATAGTACAGGCACTGTACTTCCCACCTCCACCCCTCCATCATAGTGCAGGTACTGTACTTCCCACCTCCACCCCTCCATCATAGTACAGGCACTGTACCTCCCACCTCCACCCCTCCATCATAGTACAGGTACTGTACTTCCCACCTCCACCCCTCCATCATAGTGCAGGTACTGTACTTCCCACCTCCACCCCTCCATCATAGTGCAGGTACTGTACTTCCCACCTCCACCCCTCCATCATAGTGCAGGTACTGTACTTCCCACCTCCACCCCTCCATCATAGTGCAGGTACTGTACTTCCCACCTCCACCCCTCCCTCATAGTACAGGCACTGTACCTCCCACCTCACCCCTCCATCAGGGTACAAGCACTGTACTTCCCACCTCACCCCTCCATCATAGTACAGGCACTGTACCTCTCACCTCCGCCCCTCCATCATAGTGCAGGCACTGTACCTCTCACCTCTGCCCCTCCGTCATAGTACAGGTACTGTACCTCTCACCTCCGCCCCTCCATCATAGTACAGGCACTGTACCTCTCACATCCGCCCCTCCATCATAGTACAGGCACTGTACTTTCCACCTCATCCCTCCATCATAGTACAGGCACTGTACCTCTCACCTCCGCCCCTCCATCATAGTGCAGGCACTGTACCTCTCACCTCCACCCCTCCATCATAGTACAGGCACTGTACCTCTCGCCTCCGCCCCTCCATCATAGTGCAGGCACTGTACCTCCTACCTCCACCCCTCCATCATAGTACAGGCACTGTACCTCTCTCCTCTGCCCCCTCCATCATAGTACAGGCACTGTACCTCTCACCTCTGCCCCTCCATCATAGTAGGCACTGTACCTCCCACCTCCACCCCTCCATCATAGTACAGGCACTGTACCTCTCACCTCTGCCCCTCCATCATAGTGCAGGCACTGTACCTCTCACCTCTGCCCCTCCTTCATAGTACAGGCACTGTACCTCTTACCTCCACCCCTTTATCATAGTGCAGGCACTGTACCTCTCACCTCCGCCCCTCCATCGTAGTGCAGGCACTGTACCTCTCACCTCCGCCCCTCCATCATAGTACAGGCACTGTACCTCTCGCCTCCGCCCCTCCATCATAGTGCAGGCACTGTACCTCCTACCTCCACCCCTCCATCATAGTACAGGCACTGTACCTCTCTCCTCCGCCCCCTCCATCATAGTACAGGCACTGTACATCTCACTTCTGCCCCTCCATCATAGTAGGCACTGTACCTCCCACCTCCACCCCTCCATCATAGTACAGGCACTGTACCTCTCACCTCTGCCCCTCCATCATAGTGCAGGCACTGTACCTCTCACCTCTGCCCCTCCATCATAGTACAGGCACTGTACCTCTCACCTCTGCCCCTCCATCATAGTGCAGGCACTGTACCTCTCACCTCTGCCCCTACTTCATAGTACAGGCACTGTACCTCTCACCTCCACCCCTCCATCATGGTGCAGGCACTGTACCTCTCACCTCTGCCCCTCCATCATAGTACAGGCACTGTACCTCTCACCTCCGCCCCTCCATCATAGTGCAGGCACTGTACCTCTCACCTCCGCTCCTCCATCATAGTGCAGGCACTGTACCTCTCACCTCCGCCCCTCCATCATAGTACAGGCACTGTACCTCTCACCTCCGCCCCTCCATCATAGTGCAGGCACTGTACCTCCCACCTCCACCCCTCCATCATAGTACAGGCACTGTACGTCTCACCTCCACCCCTCCATCATAGTACAGGCACTGTACCTCTCACCTCTGCCCCTCCATCATAGTACAGGCACTGTAACTCCCACCTCCACCCCTCCATCATAGTACAGGCACTGTACCTCTCACCTCCGCCCCTCCATCATAGTGCAGGCACTGTACCTCTCACCTCCGCCCCTCCATCATAGTACAGGCACTGTACCTCTCACCTCCGCCCCTCCATCATAGTGCAGGCACTGTACCTCTCACCTCTGCCCCTCCATCATAGTACAGGCACTGTACCTCCCACCTCCACCCCTCCATCATAGTACAGGCACTGTACCTCCCACCTCCACCCCTCCATCATAGTACAGGCACTGTACCTCCCACCTCCACCCCTCCATCATAGTACAGGCACTGTACCTCTCACCTCCGCCCCTCCATCATAGTGCAGGCACTGTACCTCTCACCTCCGCCCCTCCATCATAGTACAGGCACTGTACCTCTCACCTCCGCTCCTCCATCATAGTGCAGGCACTGTACCTCTCACCTCTGCCCCTCCATCATAGTACAGGCACTGTACCTCTCACCTCTGCCCCTCCATCATAGTACAGGCACTGTACCTCCCACCTCCACCCCTCCATCATAGTACAGGCACTGTACCTTTCACCTCCGCCCCTCCATCATAGTGCAGGCACTGTACCTCTCACCTCCACCCCTCCTTCATAGAACAGGCACTGTACCTCTCACCTCCGCCCCTCCATCATAGTGCAGGCACTGTACCTCTCACCTCTGCCCCTCCATCATAGTACAGGCACTGTACCTCTCACCTCCACCCCTCCATCATAGTACAGGCACTGTACCTCTCACCTCTGCCCCTCCATCATAGTACAGGCACTGTACCTCCCACTCCACCCCTCCATCATAGTACAGGCACTGTACCTCTCACCTCCGCCCCTCCATCATAGTACAGGCACTGTACCTCTCACCTCCACCCCTCCATCATAGTGCAGGCACTGTACCTCTCACCTCCACCCCTCCATCATAGTGCAGGCACTGTACCTCCCACCTCCACCCCTCCATCATAGTACAGGCACTCTATCTCCCACCTCCAGGACACAAGTCCAGCTAACTGGTTTCCATAAATCCCTTTATGATGCCCATGCTTGAACAGCACATCAGGTCACACTCCAACAGCACATCAGGTCACACTCCAACAGCACTTCAGGTCACACTCCAACAGCACATCAGGTCACACTCCAACAACACATCAGGTCATAAGGATTACTTGTCTCCAATAAGATTCACCATAATGAGTAATTATTATGTTGGAGTACAATTCTGTACTGTATATATTTACTTTGTGTGTGTGTGTTTTTTTTTTTGAGCAATCATGTATTCCTAATACAGATTAAAGTATCTTTATCTTACTTTCATGTAAAATATTGTAATATACCTTTACCAAACTGAAATATTTTTCCTTGACTTGATAACAGCGGGAAGAAACCTGAGTTTCGTATGGGTTCACCGGACTTGGCAGATGACTTCCACTCAGACTATGAGTCTGGTTCCCCACGATCACAAGCAGGAGACTGTAACTTCTTCAGGAAAAATGCTAGGTAACCTCTTAATTTTGCCACATACAATTTTAATATATTTTTTTTCTTTTTAATACATCAGTTATTTTCTACCAAGATAGTGATCCCAAACAAGGAAACACAGTCATCATCGCTCATTCAATATTTTCTTACCATCACAATTCAGCATACCCTCTGACCTAAATTTTTATTTTTTTTTAAATTACCATATATCAGTTTAGTCAAAATGTTTAGCCCATTACTTTTGGGTTATGATTAGCATTTCTATATTGAATTACCATTTGTTTTCATTGAGTCATGATTTAGGCAGGCACTGTCGTTTTTAAAAGTTACTCATATTAGTGAACACAGACAACTAAGTTCTCATAAAACATGAATATAACATCAAAATGCTGACACCATTAACATACACACTGACACTCTTGGTTCCTTACTGTGTCACCACTGTGTAACATTACCATGGTGTAGTAACAGTCTTGTCACCACTGTGTAACATTACCATGGTGTAGTAAACAGTCTTGTCACCACTATGTAACATTACCATGGTGTAGTAACAGTCTTGTCACCACTGTGTAACATTACCATGGTGTAGTAACAGTCTTGACACCACTGTGTAACATTACCATGGTGTAGTAACAGTCTTGACACCACTGTGTAACATCACCATGGTGTAGGAACTGTCTTGACACCACTGTGTAACATTACCATAGTGTAGTAACAGTCTTGACACCACTATGTAACATTACCATGGTGTAGTAACAGTCTTGACACCACTGTGTAACATCACCATGGTGTAGTAACACTCTTGACATCACTGTAACATTACAATGGTGTAGTAACAGTCCTGTCACCACTGTGTAACATTACCATGGTGTAGTAACAGTCTTGTCACCACTGTGTAACATTACCATGGTGTAGGAACTGTCTTGTCACCACTGTGTAACATTACCATGGTGTAGGAACTGTCTTGACACCACTGTGTAACATCACCATGGTGTAGTAACATTCTTGTCACCACTGTATAACATTACCATGGTGTAGGAACTGTCTTGACACCACTGTATAACATTACCATGGTGTAGTAACAGTCTTGTCACCACTGTGTAACATCAACATGGTGTAGTAAGTCTTGACACCACTGTGTAACATTACCATTGTGTAGTAACAGTTTTGTCACCTCTGTATAAAATTACCATGGTGTAGTAACAGTCTTGACACCACTGTGTAACATCACCATGGTGTAGGAACTGTCTTGACACCACTGTATAACATTACCATGGTGTAGGAACTGTCTTGACACCACTGTGTAACATTACCATGGTGTAGTAACAGTCTTGTCACCACTGTGTAACATCAACATAGTGTAGTAACTCTTGACACCACTGTGTAACATTACCATGGTATAGTAACATTCTTGACACTACTGTGTAACATCATAGTCTACTCACATTCACTTTAATATTAGTTCATAAAATTCAGAAGTGCATCTTGTAATTAGACCCTTTGCTTGAAGTTGTAAAAAAAAACATATTCTTCGTAACAAAATTTTGGGTTATTCTTTTCCCTGATTTATATTTATTATAATTATTCTTAAAGTGCATACTTTTATGGTTACAGTGGTGTATGGCTGGATGAAGATGAGAAGGATGATAGTGATTCTGAGGCTGTGGATCACTTGGACTCTACATGCATGCTCAAAGACACTTCTGGAAACCACTTTCATACCTTTCCAGATCTTAGTCCTGGCATTGATCTTCACTTTTGTACCAGAACTGCAGAGTCCAACAACAGTGGTTACTTCAGTCGTTTTGATAAGTATTACGAAGAACACAAAAAAATGCTTCAAGATGATGAAGAATATAGACAGAGTAGAGTAAGAAAAACCTCTGATTGCAACGAATATTCTTCCTCCGGAAGTGTAACCAAAAATATGATGATACGATCACCGTCCTATACAGAGACCTCATCAGGTTATAAGTCTAACAAACACTGTAGGAATCTTAGTACAGGGAGCATTCCAGCAGGTGCTCTCTTGGGTTACAATGGTGGTGCTCTTAAAGGATCATTGGAAATGGAGGGAGAGAAAACAGTAGAGGAGGAATTACCTCCAATATGGTGCCTTGAGTGTCAGGATGCGCTAGTCATAGTTGGCTGTGGATCCGGCAGGATAGAAGTATGGGATTTGTACAATAATGTACTCAAGGTAAGTACTTATTTAAATGTACTTTTTTGACATCCTTTACAATACTGTATATGTGGTTCAGTTATGTCCCCTGAGCTTTGCTTTTAGTCAGGCCTTTTTTTTTTCTCCACATTGAAGTGCATTTTTTTTTTATTAACACATCAGCTGTTTCCCACTAAGGCAGGGGGGCCCGAAATAGAAAAACTTTCATTATTATTCATTCCATCACTGTCTTGCCAGAGGCATGCTTACACTACAGTTATAAAACTGCAACATTAACATCCCTCCTTCAGAGTGCTGGAACTGTACTTCCCATCTCCAGTGTGTGTGTGTGTTTGTTTTTTGTAACATGTTGGCCATTTCCCACCGTGGTGGGGTGGCCCAAAAAGAAAGAATAAAAAAATGTTCATCTTTCAACACTTTAACCATCACTCATACATAATCATTGTCTTTGCAGAGGCACTCAAATACAACAGTTTAGATGTCCCTCCCAGCTGCCAATATCCCAAACCCCTCCTTCAAAGTGCAGGCATTGTACTTCCTATTTCCAGGACTCAAGTCCAGCTAACCGATTTCCCTGAATCCCTTCACAAAATATTACCCTGCTCACACTTCAACAGCTCATCAGGTCCCAAAAGCCATTCATCTCCATTCATTCCTATTTAACACACTCACGCATGCTTGCTGGAAGTCTGAGCCCCTTCCCACAAAACCTGCTTTACTCCCTCCCTCCAACCTTTTTAAAGACAACCCATATTCTGCCTTCCTTCCCCTACAGATATATGCAATCTCCAAGTCATTCTACTTTGTTCCATTCTTTCTAAATGACCAAACCACCTCAACAACCCCTCTTCAGCCCTATGACTAAGACTTAGTAACTCCACACCTTCTCCTAATTTCCACACTACGGATTTTCTGCATAATATTTACACCGAGTAAAGCAGCTACACCAGGGAAAAGCAGATGGGGATATAGTTTTTGGAGTGGTTAGTGTTTTTATTTAATAAATGTATGGAAGAGGGTAAGGTACTTAGGGACTGGCAGAGAGCATGCATAGTTCCTTTGTATAAAGGCAAAGGGGACGAAAGAGTGTAAAAATTATGAGGGAATAAGTCTGTTGAGTACACCTGGTAAAGTGTATGATAGAGTTGTCATTGATAGAATTATGAGTAAGATGGAGAGTAGGATAGCAGATGAACAAGGAGGCTTTAGGAAAGATAAGGGGTGTGTAGACCAAGTGTTTGCTGTAAAACACATAGGTGAACAGTATTTACATAAGGGTAAAGAGGTTTTTGTGGCATTTATGGATTTGGAAAAGGCATATGATAAGGTGGATATGGGGGTAATGTGGCAGATGTTGCAAATGTATGGAATAGGAGGTAGGTTATTGAAAGCAGTGAAAAGTTTTTACGAGGATAGTGAGGCTCAGGTTAGAGTATGTAGGCGAGAGGGAGATTATTTCCCGGTAAAAGTAGGCTTTAGACAGGGATGTGTGGTGTCACCATGGTTGTTCAATATATTTATAGATGGAGTAGTAAGAGAAGTGAATGCTTGGGTGTTGGCAAGAGGTGTGTGGTTAAAAGATAAAGAATCTAACACAAAGTGGGGGTTGTCACAGTTGCTCTTTGCTGATGACACTTTGCTTTTGGGAGATTCTGAAGAGAAGTTGCAGAGGTTAGTTGATGAGTTTGGTAGGGTATGTAAAAGAAGGAAGTTGGAAGTAAATATAGGAAAGAGTAAGGTGATGAGGATAACAAAAAAATTAGGTAACGGAAGATTGGATATCAGATTGGAGGGAGAGAGTATGGAGGAGGTGAATGTATTCAGATATCTGGGAGTAGATGTGTCAGCAGATGGGTCTATGAAGGATGAGGTGAATCATAGAATTGACAAGGGGAAAAAAGGTGAGTGGTGCACTGAGGAGTCTGTGGAGACTAAGAATTTTATTCATGAAAGCAAAGAGGGGAATGTATGAGAGTATAGTTATCCCAATGCTCTTGTATGGGTGTGAGACATGGGTTGTGAATGTTGCAACAAGGAGAAGGCTGGAGGCAGTGGAGATGTCATGTCTGAGGGCAATATGTGGTGTGAATATAATGCAGAGAATCTGTAGTTTGGAGATTAGGAGGTGTGGGATTACCAAAACTATTATCCAGAGGGCTGAGAAGGGGTTGTTGAGATGGTTTGGACATGTAGAGAGGATAGAACAAAATACAGTGACTTCAAGTGTATACGAACCTGTAGTGGAGGGAAGGCGGGGTAGGGATCAGCCTACGGAAGGTTGGAGGGAGGGGGCAAAGGTTTTGTGTGCAAGGAGCTTGGACTTCCAGCAAGTGTAAGTGTGTTAGACAGGAGTGAATGGAGACAAATGGTTTTTAGAACTTGTCTTGCTGTTGAAGTGTAAGCAAGGTAACATTTATGAAGAGATTCAGGGAAACCAGCAGGTCGGACTTGAGTCCTGGAGATGGGAGGTACAGTGTCTGCACTCTGAAGGAGGGGTGTTAATGCCTCTGGCAAGACAGTGATGGAATGAATGATGATGAAAGTTTTTCTTTTTCAAGCCACCCTGCTTTAGTGGGAAATGGCTGTTTTTTTTTTTTTTTTTCAACAAACCAGCCATATCCCACCAAGCCAGGGTGGCCCAAAAAGAGAAACGAAACTTTCTCTTTTTAAACTTAGTAATTTATACAAGCGAAGGAGTTACTAGCCCCTTGCCCCCGACATTTTAGTCGCCTCTTACAACACACATGGCTTACGGAGGAAGAATTCTGTTCCACTTCCCCATGGAGATAAGAGGAAATAAACAAGAACTAGAAAGAAAATAGCAGAAAACCCAGAGGGGTGTGTATATATATGCTTGTATATGTATGTGTAGTGTGACCTAAGTGTAAGTAGAAGTAGCAAGATGTACGTGAAATCTTGCATGTGTATGAGACAGAAAAAGGGACACCAGCAATCCTACCATCATGTAAAACAATTACATGCTTTCATTTTACACTCACTTGGCAGGACGGTAGTACCTCCCCGGGCGGTTGCTGTTTACCAACCTACTACCTATAAAATGGCTGATGTGTTAATAAAAAAAAAATTACACCACACATTTCCCTTAGACACGACATCTTCACTGCCTCCAGCCTCCTCCTCGCTGCAGCATTTACAACCCAAGCTTCACACCCTTATAAGAGTGTTGGTACCACTTAACTCTCATACATTCCCATCTTTACCTCCATGGATAAGTTATGTGTATAATAAACAATCTTCCTCTATTACGTCCCTAGTTTCTTGATAGTAACAAATCTTTTTTACTAATTTGCTCTTCATTTACTCGTTATAAGTAATTATATAAATAATTCTAATTATTTTTTGAAGTTTAAATATACAATACATTATTTTTCAGTGTATGTATGATGAAGGTATCAAAGCAGGAGTAACTTCAATGTGTATGTCAGGAAACCGTTTAATGGTTGCCAGATTGAATGGTGCTGTAGATATGCTGAAGATTGAACCAGTTGGGTCTTGTCAGCAAACTTCTGATGCACAACAAATATTTAAACCAGGTAATGAAAGTTCATATTAATTTTTTGTTCCTTTGATAAGATGTAATACTCTACATTTACCTATATACATGTATATATGTAAGTTTGGATTTTTCCATGCATAAGGATTAAGACCTAATTAATACAGAACTTAACCTTTTCAATATCAACTAGTCAGTTATCTGGTAACTGATAGCATAGGCTGATGAAGACGGACTTTATCAAGTACAGTACACATGACAGTGTATTGAACCATACGTCATCATTATTCCTTACATCGTCACATAACTCAAGTTTGTGAATGACATTTTATTCATCATCCCTGGGTGTTTTGACCTTCCACAATTCAGGGACGCTCTCACCTCCATGGAACCTTCTAATACAGTTCTCTCTGGTGGAGAAAGAAGATGATTCCTTAATCTTTCTTGGCATCTTCCTCATCTTGGAAGGGCACTCTCAAACACAGGGTTTATTGCAAGTCTACCGACGTAGATGTTCTAATTAATTTATTTTCCCAACATGACCTCAAGGCTAAGTGTTGCATCAGTTAGTTTAATATGTTTATTATGCACCCCATACCCATCCTGTGGGTGGTAGTCAAAAGATTACAGAGGTACATAATGGGTCCAGGGACTGGGCCTCAAAGTTTTGATAGCTGAGCAAGTTACAGAGGTAATGAATTTACAATTTACAAAGGTAATGAACTCACAATTTACAAAGGTAATGAACTCCAGGTAGGTCTAGTCACAATCATGACAAGTTACAAAGGTATTTACAGATTACAGAGGTACACAATGGGTCCAGGGACCGGGCTCCAAAGTTTTGATGGCTGAACTAGGTACAAGGTAATGAACTCACAAGTTACAAAGGTAATGAACTCACAAGTTACAAAGGTAATGAATACTGTAAGAATGGTTACTTACGTTTATACATGGCTGCAATCATGAACAAATGTTAGAGTAATGAGCAATTCACACTTCCACACCCGGTCACAACTGTAGTGAGTTATTGGTGCAAATGTTGATTGCTGAGTCTCTCTCTCTCACACACACACACACACACACACACACACACACACACACACACACACACACACACACACACACACACACACACACACACACACACACATACAAATTCATACACACACACACATAAACACACACACACACACACACACAAACACACACACACACACACACAACATACACAAACTCATACACACATATGCACACACACTCATACACACACACACTCATACACACACACACACTCATACTCACACACACACACACACACACACCACACACACACACACACAAAACACACACACACACACACACACACACACACACACACACACACACACACACTCACACACTCATACACATACACACAAACACACACACACACACACACACACACACACACACACACACACACACACACACACACACACACACACACACACACACACACACACACACACACACACACACATGCACATATGTGGTAATGCTTTATTTACAGCTAGCAAAGTCAGGGTATTTCTCCAGAATGGTCTGTAATATACCACTGTGGATAAAATACTTAGCCATTTCTTGAACACTTCTGAGTGAGTTGTTTCTAAATTCATTAATTTTATCGCACTCCAGTACATAATGACGCAGGGTGTGACAATAATCCATCTGGCAAAGTTTACATTTCGTTTGGTCTACATCTGGTGGTGGTGATTTAACCTGCCAAAGATACTTGTAACCCAGCCGGAGCCGGGCGGTAGTGACATCCAAGAGTCTGCTTATTTTGTTGGATGCACCATAGACATGTGGCTCCTCCTGCATGATAGAATGATGATAGATGGACTCACTGGTGTCAATCTCCCTGAGCCTTAAGTCCATAAAATTCAGCTGAAGTTCTTTTCGTATTATTGTTCTCAAACTACTACCTGACAAGCCAAGATTGTAATCTACTCCCTCTTTGAAAGCATACAGCTTAGCCAATTTATCAGTTCTATCATGCATCTGAAGACCAATGTGAGATGGAATCCACAGCATGTGCACTCTGACTCCACTGTCCACAATCCATCACCAGAGGTTTTTTCCTTATTGCTCTTAAGATTTGTGGTGATAACGTTCTTGTCGTGAGAACAGAACAAAAAAAAAAAAAAGGATGATTTTGCCATTCGCAAGTTTGTTCCTTCAAGTTATCCATGCCTGTAAGAGGACAGCCCTACTAATTCACACCGGTCCTAGAGAGTGCAACAACACTGACTGTCATCTTGACTCCTCACAGGGCTGGTTTGCCATATCTGTTGCCCCATTGTCTGTGAGGCCAACGTGGACATGGTTGTTGTTAAAACTAAACTATGAAAGAAATTACCTGACTTTACGAGCTCAAAACCACCACCACTTCAAGGGCCTACAGTGCTCAGTGCAGGGGATTCAAATTCAAAGTTTATTCTCTATAAGGATTACAATGCTGAGTTTACAGAATTTGGTTATTGTGTGGTTTACATGTAGTAAAAATAATAATTACAGAGTGTACCACTAGAACACCTAGCATGGCTAGGCATTTCAGGCAGACTTAGATTAAATCTTAAGTTTAAAATATTACAAAATTATGAGGTAAGTTGGTATTATGGCTAAGTGACTAAATACTAGTTTGTGAGTTTAGCAATGTGAATGCTTTTGTTTTGGCACTATACATAGTTTCAGTATTGGAGTATCACAGGCCAACTTATGACTAGTTAAGATTCATTATTTTAAGATTGAGATTGATATTTCTGTTTATGGTGAAATGGGTGAGTGAGTGCAAGTGTGAACCACCAGGTGGTATTCGTGTAATTAGTTGACAGGGTGTATCAGGGAGATAAGATGTTTCTGATGGTAGTTTTGAAGGTGATGAATGTGTCTGCAGTTCTAGAGTTTTCAGGTAGGGTGTTCCAGATTTTAGGGCCTTTGACGTACATTGAATTTTTGTAAAGGTTTAGTCGGACACGGGGAATGTCATAGAGATGTTTGTGTCTGGTGTTATGCCTGTGGGTTCTGTCACAACTATCAAGAAAGCATTTTAGGTCAAGGCTAATATTGGAATTTAAGGTCCTGTAGATGTAGATTGCACAGTAGTAAGTGTGGATGTACTGAACAGGGAGTAAGTTTAGATATATGAAGAGTGGGGGGGGGGGGTGTTGCCAGGGATGGGATTTAGTGATTATTCTTACTGCGGCTTTTTGTTGGGTTATTATTGGCTTTAAGTGTGTTGCTGCAGTCGAACCCCAAGCACAGATAGCATAGGTGAGGTATGGATATATAAGTGAATGGTATAGTGTGAGAAGGGCAGTTTGTGGCACGTAGTATCGTATCTTGGAGAGGATCCCAACCGTTTTGGATACTTTTTTGGTTATGTGTTGGATATGGGTGCTGAAATTCAGGTTGTTGTCGAGGTATAGGCCTAGGAATTTGCCGTCATTATGTCTGGCAATTAGAGTGTTGTCGATCTTAATGTTAATTTGCGCATCTCCTGCTCTGCTACCAAACATAATGTAGTAGGTTTTGTCAATGTTAAGCGTAAGTTTATTGGCTGTCATCCAAGTCGATATTTTGATCAGCTCCTCGTTAACAATGGTGTTGAGGGTGGCAAGATTAGGGTGAGAGATGACATAAGTCGTGTCGTCAGCAGAGAGAATGGGGTTCAGGTGTTGAGATACGTTTGGAAGATCATTGATGTACATGAGGAAGAGCAGGGGACCAAGGATACTTCCCTGTGGAACTCCAGTATCAAGTGGCCGTGTTGTTGATGCTGTGTCTTTAATGGTGACATACTGATACCTATTAGTAAGGTAAGATTTGAAATATGGAAGCACATGGCCTCTTATACCATAATGGTCAAGTTTGTGGAGTAGGATGCCGTGGTCTACTGTGTCAAAAGCTTTTCTTAGGTCAATAAAAATTCCTATGGATATTCCTTATTTTCCAATGCTGTGTAAAGCAGATCTAGCATTTTTATGATTGCATCATTAGTGCTTTTATTTTTCCTGAATCCAAATTGGCAGGGGTTGAGTATGTTTTGTGCCATTATAAATGAATATAGTCTCCTGTGCACGAGTTTCTCAAAGATTTTGGATAGCAATGGTAAGTTTGATATTGGCCTATAGTTGTTTAAGTCTGTAGGGTCACCACCTTTATGTATTGGTGTAACCCTTGCCATCTTGAGTAGTTTTGGGAAGGTGCTAGTTTCTAGTGACTTGTTAAAAAGTAATGAGATAGCATGCGAAAGGACATGGGCTGCTCGCTTGTACAATAATGGTGGGACATGAGGCAGATTCCCTGAGTTATTTTTAAGTGACTTTATAATCTCGGTGACTTCCGTGGCTCAGTTGTGCAAGATAGAAGGAATTTGGGAAATTCCCATCTAGGTAGTCCCCGGCATGGGCATTGGTACGTGGGATTTTATTGGCAAGATTAGATCCTGTGGTTGAGAAGAAGTCGTTTATCTTGTTAGCTGTGTCAGTGGGATGCAGTGGTGTTTCATTAGGTTTAGTTAGGACAATATTCTTGGTTTTTTCAGTTTGTGGGTCCCTAGAATCTGAGAGAGTGTTTTCCAGGTGTTTTTTTATATCTCCTCTTGTGTCAGTGAATCTACTGGGGTAGTATAGTTGTTTGGCTTTCTTTATTACTTTGGTGAGGACTGATGAATAGTGTTTAAGAATATCTTTGTGTATTAAGCCCTGTCTGTATTGTTTTTCATATTGGTGTTTCTTATCAATGGATTTCAGAATGGTGCTGGTTAGCCATGGGGAACCAAGCCGTTTGTTTGTGATCTGTTTCGTTTTTATAGTAAAATGATTGTTGTATAGTCTAAGTAATTTATTAAGAAAAATGTCTGTCCAGTCATCAATACCATTGGCCTTGGAGAATTCTGTAGGCCAGTCAACAGTCTCTAGGTCAGCTGTGAACTTCCTTATTGAGGCCTCATCATGGAGTCTAAATGAAACTTTGTTGTATTCAAGTGGTGGTTTACTAATGTTTGTCAAGTGGAAGGTAGGGTAGCGGTCTGT